TATAGATTGAATTATATTTTAAATGAAAATTATTAAAAATAAATAAATAAACATAATTTGCAAGCAATATCGTTTTGAATTTCGTTGCTAATTAGTTGCACGCATCTGTATGCATTAATGAATAGTAATTTGGTATTTATTAAGCGTTTGCCACAAACCTGGATTCCATGTCCACTGCCTTGTTGGCTAATATGCAGCTGTTGGGTTTGTTTCATTTGCAAAGTTGTAGTTGTCGACTGCTGCTGCTGCTGATGCATATTTGGACCCGCTTGTGAGCTACCGCTATTACTAGCACCTGCATTAACTCCTCCAGCCGGACCATTTTGATGGTTTTGTCCCGAAGGGCCGCCTACATTAGGACCGCCACCCATACCGCTTGGACCGCTGTTGACGTTGGGCGGAGGTCCATTTTGGGGCCCACTACGCTGTTGTGGATTGGTCTGCTGTTGCTGTTGAGGCATTTGCTGGGCACCAATATTGGGAGCACCAGCACTGCCGCCACATCCGCCCATGCCTACGCCAACACCTACACCACCTACTCCGCCTGCAGCTCGATTAGGCCCTTGCATAAATGATTGCCCAGTAGGATTTTGGTTGTTTGCTCCTGTCATCGGTGAGTTATAGGCCGAGTATTGCTGTTGAGGATTTGGTTGCTGCTGTTGCGTTTGAGTCTGACCTGGTTTTGGGAAATTTCCAGCGCCCGCACCTGGTCCCATTTTCGGTCCGTTCGAACCGTGCGAGTGTTGCGCTGCTTGCGGATGTTGCTGTTGTGCGTGCGATTGTGGTTGCGGATGTTGATGTTGTTGTTGGTGCATTTGTGTCTGTTGTAGCCGTTTGAGATCGAAGTCGTTTTGTGAAGAATAGAATAACTCCTGTTTTATGTCGAGGAATGGTTGCTGCATGCCGACGTTCGCACCGGGACCACCCATGGGTACGTTTCCAGGACCCTTTTGCTGAAACTGTGACGGTAGATGTTGTTGTTGCTGCGGGCCATTCGGTCCCATCCCAAAATCGTTACTAAAGCTACCGTAATCACTGTATCGTCCGTTTGGTCCACTTCCAGCCATTAATTGCCCTTGCTGTGATTGGTGCATTGGCGGTCGTGGGAAACCACCCATGCCTCCCATGGCGTTCTTGTGTTGATGCTGCTCCGCCATTTGTTTTAAAGTTTGTGCCGCAAGCGAGTTCATCGATCCGCCATCCGGGCCGTTCAGAAACTGCCGCATTTTGTTCATAGTCTGAGGATCGGGTTGTGGAGGCCCGTTCATAGGGCCACCAACACCGCCATTAGGCCCATTGTTTGGGCCACCAACGCTCATGCCGATGCCGCCACCACCGAACGCAGCGTTGAAATCTGCCATTGCATTTTCCGACTTTACATTTAGACTATTGATTAGGTCCTGTGCATTTGGTGGCTCCACTTTTATACCATCCTCAGTTTTAATATCTAAAAGTGGCTTCTCATCGAAGCTAAACAAATCCGGATTAAAATCTTGCAAATCGTTGATGATGTCATCACCCATGAGATCAGGGAAGCCGGGAAAATTGCCATTGGGACCGGACTCCTTTTCTAGCCCTGCCAAATCGGGAAACTCCTGGTCTGGCTCACGTTTGCATTCAACCAAATTGGCGAGACCGCCTAGTCCGCCAGTCACGCCCACTTTTTGCTGTTGCTGTGTTGTAGTATTCGAGTTATTGTGCCCGCCCATTAAGTTGCTGCCAACGCCACTCGTTCCGCTGTTACCACCCATGTTATTTCCTCCATTGGCACCGCCGCCGTTGCCAGGATTTCCACGTCCATTATTTGATATGCCGCCGCCACCACCTTGTGGATCATTTGTAGCACCAGAACCACCGCTGGAACCACCACCCGCTGCCCCGCAACCTCCGCCGTTCCCACTTACGTCGGGCTCACTCTTTACTGAAGTGTTCGTAAGGGCCTTCACTGTAACATTTGTGCTTATCTGCTGCGGCTGCGAATTCGCCGCCGAGGTGGTGAACTCTAATTTTTGCACAATATGCACTGAGAATTTCGTAAGATTTTCGGAGCCGCCGTTATTGTTGTTGTTGTTATTGTTGTTTGGTAGTTTATGTGGTGGCTCGAAGTTCTCACCTCCATTGTCGATGTCGTCCGCTGGTCGTTTTAGAAATTTCTGCTGCTGCAACGAGAAGAAAAAATTCACAAGATTACTATATTTTAAAGTGAAAATCTGAGATTTATTTTGTAGATTAATTTATGATCACATTAAATATCAGAATAATACTAGAGTTCACTCTTTAAGGCGAAACTGTGTGCGTTTGGGCGAAAGTGCGAAAATGAGAAATATTCGACAGTTTTTTACAAAAAACATATGGCAACGTTTCGCACTTTTAGTTTCGCATAAACGCACAGCTGAAACCCCGACTGAAATGCAAAGAGCGAGAAAACTGTGTTGTTGTGCTGTGCTGTTCGTACATCGCTTCGGCAGTTAAAGCGAACTGTTTGAAATTTCGCGGCCAAAGCAACAACACTATTCACCCACGATTGAGAGAATACAAAGGTTGCGCCGATCTCGGACCGCTATTCCTCTCTTAACGAATTTGACAGAATCGTTGTTTGCATGACGTCACACTTGTGCAACTTGTTTACGTTTTCCTTGCAACATTTTTTCTTCTTCTTCCATTCTTGCTCACGTTTTGGCATTTCTCTCTCGCAATTGCACCAGTGTGACGTCACACAAAAGTTATTCTCAAAAATCCTCTCTGATCGGCGCAATCTTGTATTCTATCATTCTTGCTATTCACTCCTTTGTGCAAAACAAAGAGCTCATTTTTGTCTTTCACATTTTCGCATCAAAGAGGTCACACAATATCGAGAAAATCTGTTTGCAATAATGTTACATACATATATTAATATGTATGTATAAGCATTAATTAAAATACAATTAGATCGATCATTACCCAAATATTCATTAAAGTGTTTAGTTTATTTCCTCTTATAGCAAAGCAGCATCGAACCGAAGAATATCGGGGAGCTTCGCCAACACTCCTTCATCGAACATTCAAATGGTTGATTCCTTATTTTGTTTTTTGTTCCATTGAGTCGCACTATTATTTATCTTAAAAGACTTGCTGATCCTCTTTTAACCAACCAAGAGCTTTATAAGTACATATATCACCATAGAGACAAATTTAGCTAGATATATGCATTTTTGTGGTTTTTCAGTTTCACACATTTTATTCACATACATTTCTTAAAGCACCAAAGTTTTCCAATTACACTAGCCGACAATAAATCCGACCTGTGGCATTTAACCATACTGGAAGTAAAGAAATTCTTTCATGTTCATGTTTGTACCAAAAGTTAATAATTTTTTTAAATTTTGCAAACTTGTCGAGAAATCGATGTATAGGTCCTAAACTACTGATTCGGCTGGAAAATGTTGTTAGCATGGGCAATAGGAAAGCTAGCTAGCTAAGCTTCACTAGTGTAAAAAGAAATTTGAAATTGAAAAATGCAAATTAAGTGAATGCATTTTTTTAAGAAAAATAGCCGAAATTTGGCTCTATCTAAAAAACTGTGTTCTACTTTTTCATTTTCTGATTTTGAATTCAGCGAAAAATTATACATTTCATTTCCTCGGCTATATACAGTCAACCACAAAAGTTTAGGTACAGAGAATGTTTCATAATGGATGGAAAATTTTTTATTTTAATTTCTCTTCGCTAATCTTTTTTTATAAAGGTATGGTTCATACTAAAACCAAAAAAAAACATAGAAATAAAATATATAAACTCTGTGCAAAACTGAGGAAACTCAAATAAATTAACATAAATATTTTCAACTTTCTAATCAGACTTTTTAGAAAAATGTTTGTTATGCAGTTTATAGCATATTAACTGATAAAGAACAACTTTGAAGTGTCTAAAAAATCACTTTAGTTCTGATACATTTTTACGGCTTTGCGCATTTTCTTCCATATAAAAATAAATTTCGAATATCGAAAATAATACAGCTGTGTAAAATGACATCGAGAAATACCACCAGCTCCGCCAGAAGTGGGAAGGATCTCCCCGAGCTGTTTGATACCAGACGAGGTTTCAGACAAGGCCTTTCGTGTGATTTCTTTAATCGGATTTTGGAGAAGAAAATAAGAGAAACAGAATTGTAGTGGAACTCCGGCTACTAAACCGCTCAGGCACAATTCTTTGCAGGAGCGTACAATTGCTGGCATATTCCGACGACATCAGTTCTGCCTTCTGGAATTTAGATAGCGAAGGGATTGGAATCCGTTGATGATCATATGTCATCAATCCAATCACCAAAATTAAAGGGGAGGCCTCTAAAAATTTGTATAATGGGCGATCCTCGAATAGATGGTTGATACGATAAATTCCAGGAATTTTATTGTTCTTAGTATTCTTGAGCATCCATAAAAGCAAACGCATTTCAAATGGCACCGCCGGAAACGAGTCGTGGAGGGAGGGCTTAACAAGTGAATACAAAGGTCCTCAACAGCACGAAACTGTACCGTAGGATTTATAACGGTTATAATAACCTTATACATATACATCATTTTAGCATTGATAATCGAACAAAGCTCTTTTCTCAGGCTATTAGGTTTCACCAAAATGAATGCAAAATCATCATATGTGCGATGATTCGCAATAAGAACTCGATTTTTATATATTTATACCCGAGCGCACTTGTGCACAAGGGTATATTAATTTTGTTCACATAACGGTTGTTTGTAACAGCCAAAACGAATCGAGATAGATATAGACAAATGTATACATAAATGATCAGGATGAAAAAAGAAATCGATTAAGCCATGTCTGTCTGTCCGTCCGTCTGTCCGTCTGTCCGTGTACACGATAACTCGAGCAAAAATAGAGATATCTTAACGAAATTTGGTATGTAGGTTTCCCTTAATCCAAGGTAGGTTGGTATTGAAAATGGGCGAAATCGGACTTTAACCACGCCCACTTCCCATATAACGGTAATTTCCAGAAATACGAAAACTGCGATATTTTAGTAACTACTAAAGATAATTCACTCAAAATTGATATTTATAATAAGTTTTAGACGAAAAATAAGAATATTATAAATTTTTGGAAAATGGGCGTAGCCACGCCCACTTATGGTTATATGTATATATCTTGGTAACCACTGCACCAATTTCTTCCAAACTTGGCACAGTTGTAGGCCTTCGCACAACATACTAAATGGCCGAAAATTTTTAAAATCGCTCAATAACCACGCCTACTTCCCATATAACGGTAATTTTCAGAAATACGAAAACTGCGATATTTTAGTAACTACTGGAGATTATTCGCTCAAAATTGATATTTACAATAATTTTTCGACGAAAAATAAGAATATTATAAATTTTTGGAAAATGGGCGTAGCCACGCCCACTTATGGTTACATGTGTATATCTTGGTAACCGCTGCACCAATTTCTTCCAAACTTGGCACAGTTGTTGGCCCTGGTACAGCATAAAAAATCGCCGAAACTTTTTAAAATCGGACAATAACCACGCCCACATCCCATATAACGGTAATTTAGAGAAATACAAAATCTTCGATAAATCAGTAAATATTGAAGCTAATTTATTCAAAATTGATACTTGCAACAATTCTTTACCAAGAAATACGTTTATGGTAAAATTTTGGAAAATGGGCATGGCACCGCCCACTTATGATCACATATATGTATATCGGTAACCGTTCTACCAATTTGTACCAAACTCGGTGTGGTTATTGTGCTTGCCACATATAAGCAAAACGTTGAAAATTATTGAAATCGGACTAAAATAACGGCCGCTTCTCATATAACGGTAAATTTCAGAAATGCTTGAAACTTCAATATTTCGAAATTGAAGGACGCTAATTTACTCAAAATTGATACACCCCGGCTTACCATGTAGCGGTAGCTTTCGGAAAGGTGAAAAACATATATTTAATATTTGCGCCGGGTATTTAATGTTCGGCTCCGCCCGAACTTAGACTTTCTTACTTGTTTTATATACAGTGACTCAAACTAATTACATCTGTTGATTTTTTTTTTTAAATATTCGTAATGTTTTTCGAGTTAATTTTCTTTTGTTATTTTTCTAATAAAAATACCGTCCAACCTTTAACCAAACTCACATAAATCATAGTTTCCAACTATAAAAAATTTATAAAAATGCTACAAATTTTCATGAAAATTAAGCTTTTTAATCTGAATCTTTAGAACGATTTTGGTTTGTTTTGAGCCGTTAAAATTGCAGTTTTATAGTCTAAGTGCAAGTTTCAAAAGGCTCAAAAATCGGGTTGACTACTTTTTCGGGTTTTCTATAAACAAGTGCAATTTAAACAAAATAGCCCGTGATAATAAATTGTGTTCTCTGCTCTTCGTGCCACACCAACAGATGCCTTGCCACACCAACAGATGCCTTGCCACTCCAAGTATATATTAGGCCAAAAAATAACAAAAAACAAAGAGCTTGTCAAACATTTTTAGCTTGAAGGCATCTTGGACTCCATTGGTCTTCGTGGCATTATAAAGCTCAGCGCCCTGAACCTGTTTAAAGGCTGATTCGACGTATGTTTCCTCGTCCACACATACTTTTTCTTGATTTTTGCACAAAATTTTCTCCGCAAGCTCACACTTCGCCGAGCATATTTCGAAGAATACGTAGAAGTTACAAAGAATAGATACGCGATATTAATAACGACAAAATACCCTATCAATGTGTATACTTACTTCATATTTACAGTTAATTTTACGCAAGTGGTGAGTAAACATAATCCACAACGTTTTTTCGTGTCCATTCTTTACGTTTTCCACTGGGTTATTTCACTTGTGCTCTTGCAGCTTTACTTTCTGTTTTGATTTCGATTTTAATTTAATTTGATTCGATTTGTTGTGTGTGCCATATTCCTTTTGCCACCCAGTAACAGCTATTCCATCAATGCATAATATCTCTTTGTAAGTAATTTTATTAACAGCGTTGCCATTTTAGCCGTTTTCCGGCTAGATTTAGCCGGTTTTGATAGCAACTAGCCGCAGAAAATTCGATCTAGCCGGCAGCCGATTTGTTAGCCGGTTTGTAAAAAAAAGTTAGCCGTTTTTAGCCGATTTTACTATTTGCCTAATTTTCAGGTGAAAAAGTAAACAAGTTGTTCGAAAGCA